CCTTTACCGCGTTCTTCAGAGTATATACTTTCTCAATGATAAATTTTAAATGCACAAGGGGGCTCAAAACTATTGTATGGTTGGAACTCTATCCTTCATGGTTGAAACTTGTTAACTAAAGGCCTCATTTGGCAACTCGGTGAAGGCAATATTGATGCATTTAAAGATGACTGGATTCCATCACATCCTTCACGACTTGCATCCTCCTCGGTTGACAATGTCAATACAAAGGTAAAAGATTTATGGAGCAATAAACAGTGGAACAACGATAAACTACACGAAATTGAGGATGCATATAGAAATACAATCTTTCAAATCTACATCCCAAATCACCCATGCCCCGTCAAGTTAGTGTGGCACTATACTAAAGATGGAATTTACACAGTAAAGTCTGGATATTGGCTGGTGTAGGGATCGGATTCCACCCCGGTAAGATCACAACATGAAGAATGACTAAGTATGGAAGCTGGGTTAGAAATGACTGGGTGAACCTAGTCATCTATTGCACGTCGAGATGACTAATCCGGCGAGACAGACTGTGGAACGGTGCTGTTGAAATGACAAGAATGGAGTGGCAAGCCTCGCGAGTCTAATAACACTACTTGGTGGCAAAGACGAGTTCATAACAGAGAAATGGGCTTGTAAAAGCAAGAAACCCATAAGGCAGGTCCGTAACGAGGTAAGGCCCAAAACGTGACAAGGTGGGCCGAGTCCAAGAAATGACGAGATGGGCCGACGCAGCCCACTAGGTCTGGCCGACTTAAAAATAAAAGAACACCTAAAGAATAAGGAAACTTCCTGTTTTTTCCTAGGGCTGACCTAGCGGACCTAGTTTACTATATATACTAATATATCTCCCTTCAGAAAGGGATCCGCGATTGTGGACAGAAACTCTTGTACTTTTACGGATTAGCAAGAACAACAATAAAATCATTCTCAATCTTTGCTCTCTATGATTTGGTACTTGGAAGACGCTCTTTCAACCCTTGACAAATTTAACTGTGCAGGATCTACCGTCTACAACTAGCCTCCCAAGAGCGAACCAACCAATCTC